AATAAGCTTCGAGTGTATCTTGTTGTTATTTGTTTGTTATGGTTTTATATTAAAATCACTCTGTTCAGGTAGGCGTATCTTTCTATTGACGAGTTTTACCTTGTATTTGTTAATCTACTTTCAGGGCTTATTAGACCGCCAGGCGTTCTAAAAGAAATTGATTTGAAAGAGAAAGCTGGCGAGCGAACATGCCGTGACAGCCTTGAGCTCGAGCCGCTAGTGCCGTCTATTTCGTTGAAGTCGCCAATCGGCCCCGTTTCTTATTTTATTGCTTTCCTGATTTTTGATAGTTCCGCGTAGTTTGTGTTAATTACAATTAGCGCCGCCTTGACGTTTTGTTTTCAATCATGCCGGCTGAACACACGCAGAGGGATTGCTCGCTTTTTCCATCTAAGCTACAGCCCGTTTCGATCACTCATATACTTCTTTCGCAAGCGTGTCTGTAAATAGCACAGGAAATATCTGCCATGAAGATTTTTAGAACAAACTGATTTTCTAGATTTTAATATCTTGCTTGAGCGGAATCGAAGTTTCCGTGTAAGGTAGTCTAAGACGAGATTCGTTGAAACACCTGTTTGTTTACATCTCCTTAATTATAGTTCGCAAAGATGCGTATTTCTCGTCTGCACTTTTTTTTGTGTTATTTTTTTTTTACTCTTATATAGTTGTCTTCGTTCCCTTCGGTGACCCCTTGGTATCTTTAAATCGGACCGGTAGCACACTTTCGCACTGATTTATTTTTTTTTAATTTTTAATAAGCGATGTTATATATTTCAATCTAAAAAAGCCCGTGCGTCTCCTGGACCCTCATGTTTGCAGACTGTCTTTTGTATAATGGTATGAGCAGTGTAACCCCGGCTTAAGAGTAAGTTCTTTTGTTCGTTTTTTTTTTTCTTTTGCCATATTTCGTTCGTGCCGAAACGAGGATCCTATGAGAGCTAATGGAATTCGATATTACTTTGTATTACTGTTTGCAATCACCTCCGCAACTTTGTTCTGCAAACATCCGCGAGCGATTTTGGATATCGTCTTTCGTTGAGAGCCTCTACCGTACCTGAATAACCGTGCATAATATTCTTCTGGCGCAGTTTCAGCCTGCTGATTGAATCGAATCGCTTGATTCATAATGAATGAGTCTACTTCTATGGAGTTACTATTATTTACAGTAGAGGTCCAACCGGCGCAATGTGCGGTTTCAGATTGAAGCTGAAGGCAGCCAGTCTGAAATTGACATCCGGTAATGCATTTCTTCGGGAAAAAGTGGGTGCATATTTTCACTGCGCTTGATTATAAGAGCAGGTATCTCGAATAATGTGTGCGAACTAGATAGCTTGGATCAACACTCAGTCACGTGGACAAAAATATTGAGCGTTATGGCCTTTTTCTTTTTTTCTTTTTGTTTTTTTTTTTAAATTCAGGGGTTTAAAAATTGTGGTAAAATGGCTTCGTGCATGCAATTCTGTACACTGACCGACATTGTTGGCGCTAACACGGCATCAGCGCTTTTCTGCAAGATGTTTTACGTGCCAAAGCAACGAACATCACCTCTAAAATCAAGACAGACGTCAAGAACTACATACTAACACTGGATCAGCGCCTATCTGTACATGTAGACGATGAAAATAAAGTAAAGCAATGACTGTGACTTGCGATATATAACATTCGTTTTATGTCCTTTGATTCTCATGTATGGGCGCAAAGCTAAGTAATTCCAGCGTTCATAAGTCATATCTGCATGTTCCAAAACGATTAAAATGGGAAAAAGAGAGAAAAATCTTACCGCAGGATAAATTCAGCACACTATAAAAAAGAGAAACACCTTTTCTATTGTACGCACTTTAACTGTTTTACGCGTTTTAAATGCTCGTAAATGGGGGTGGGGTCTTTTTAGTGACACATATCTCTCAGGTTAACAATATTAGCAGCATCGAAATGTTGACACTCCTTGAACAAGTCCTACGTTCTTTTCTACCGTTATTCTTGCTTAGATTCGCAGTTTGTCTCACTTACAATGGAACATAGGACTGGACCCGGAATACTAGGAAGCAAAACGTCGCTCACTGATCGGAAAAATGCTGTAATTACGGCAAATTTCCTTTGATAATGTTTATAAAGTTAGGCATACTTTTCGCTACAACCCAAGTAAAAAAGGAAGTTTCTGTTATTTTCTACCGACGTGGGATGCGAAATGCACAGAAGCACCGCAAAAGAGGACTGCGGGCTATACGAAACGGCGGGACGAGGCGGGAAGGAGGAACGGAAACATCGCCACCTGCTGAGATTGGTCAGCGCCACGCCGGTGACCATTCTCGGCAGGTGGCGCTGTACCGGTCTCTTCGTCCCGCCGTCTTTCCTGGCCCCACTGACTGCTGTCTGCTTCAACTTGAAGCTGGAAATCCCATAGACACTCGCGCTAGTTGAACCTCTAGCCTACATTATAATAATAACTTTATGACTGCTTCAGGGCATATTAAGTGTGCTCTACGGAACAAAACTCGAGGCAAAGTTTCCCTACAAAAACTACACGTCGCACGGAACGAATATATGGGCCTCCTACCGTTTACTGCCATGACGAATTTTGAGAGAGGCGCATCAAAGTATTCCGGACGCATACATATACATATTATTATTGTTGATAAACATTTTGCGGAGAAATATTACGGGCACACGAACGCAGCGTTATGCTTTCTACATTAAGGTTATACTAAATTTTCGGCATTGCATTGCAATTAATCGAAACAAAGGTACATATTCGATTAAACGTTTCTTGTGCATCACCTAAACTTAGAAAAATATATATTTGAGAAAACATTAACGCTCGTGTCCCGTTTTGCTACACTCCGTTAAAAAAAGAAAAAAGCAGCTGGAGAGCATTTCCTATGATTTGACGTAGAATGTTGAATGTTGAATGTCATTGAATGTTGATAAGTTGGCGACAGGGTTAAAACGGCAGGGAGGTCTTCCAGTTGTCCTGCCTCCAGAGCGAGCTGACCTACCTTCGTCACGATTTTGGCGTCTTTTTAAGCTTCGAGCGTGCAGGCGCAGCCAAAGAAGCACAGAGTGCAACGAACGCGTGCAGGAGGTCGGGCGTATCCGAAAAGGACGCCGTTGTTGTCCTGTAAGTGACTATGAAAATGTGCCACCCATGAGCGGCGCATCCAAGGTTTCGGCTTCCTATAGACGATTCCATTTAGCGCTCTCTGGGCGGCACCATTTTTTTTTTTGGAATAGGATAGAATAGAATAGTTTATTCCAGGTTTCTTTCTTTTGTTTGACAGCAGCGCCCTCTCCATACATCCGGGAAATTCAGCGGGTTCGGTGGGGCAAAACGGGAGGTTGCCATTCTCCATCTTTGGGCTGTATCGGCGGGCTGTACGGAACATCGAACTCTTACTCGTGGCTGCCGCTGTGAAGTGGTTTGCGTTCTTAGAATAGTTATGGCTACTCCAAAATCACCCTAGAGCTCTCTGTTGTTCTACTTCGGTAAATGATCAACTGACATATCTTTTTTCCGTTACTTAAATAGCAGTTGAGTCATCCGGCAGTACTACCCTCAACTACTCCGTGTAGTGCGGCAGGAGAGCACGTTTTTATTTATTATTTCAGACATCCACTCATGGTCGCTAAAGGCCTACACCAGTACGAACGTTGTAGAGTAAAAAAGGTACAGCCACCGGATTCACTTTTCGCCGGGGAGACCGGCCAGTCTGACACAGTTTTCCCTATTTCTTTTTTATTTGCAAGCAGATAACAGCGCAATTGAACTCTGTCAGTCTTTTTTATCTAGCGTAGTAATTCACGATAACTGGCATACCAAAATCTGCGCATCTGCGCTTGAAATTCCCAAAATGACGCGATTTTAAACAGAGATTGTACGCCAGCCGGATGCTAGGTACTGCCCACTCGGCGGAGCAGACGATATCCGGGCGAGAGGGGGAGAGCATTTTTTTCTCTTTTTATCCTCTCTGCTATGACCCTAATGGAGCGGTCTATACTGCCTCTACGGCGCACAAATGCAGTGGCCAACCGAACAATTTTCGACCTATTCAGATGCGTTCTTGTTACCGGGCATGCGAAAAGCAATAGACGTGTAGCGTATGGCACGCTGTGTACTGCATAATACCTTCTCCACACCGAACACGAGGCTCAAAAAGGCGCGATCACACATCTTATGCCGTGACTGAAACCAGAGGGAGCGCGCTGGTGAGCGGGTGAATGCTCGACGTTATTGAATATGGGACATGGGAAGCAAAGAAAGAGGTCTTCCTCTCTTTTTTTGCGTTTCTTTCCGGACTAATGCACCGGACACATTGCTAACACATCGCGGAAAAAAATGCAGTATGCAAAGCACTGTCTGAGACATAATTCTTTCTTGTACGACGGCCACGTACGAAGCACACACACACGTATGAAGCATACATGCTTCTAAGATGTTTGAAACGTGCCCTCAGATAATTATGTGGTCGTGTCTTCAGCGAATATCGCGTCTTCTGTGCGATGGTTCAAGTCAATCACTTAAGAGAACAGCCCCAAGCTACCTGTTCTCTTAAACAGTCTTAAATTTTTTATCATCAAAACACCTCAGAGTATTCGTCTATTTGTCCCACGTGTACGTGTGTTTTGTTCTCCACAGATGCACGCAGGTGTGTGTATTTTACTCGAGAAAAATACGCCTGTATGTGTTTTTTAAGCACAAATTACCTTTTTTTAAAAATTTAGTTGTTTTTTTTTGCTTTTGCGCATGGGTATGTGCAGATGTATAGATATATTTATTATATCAATTTCCTCCGCTCTAGTCATGAAAAGACGTTGGAACCTAACAAATTGTAAACTCGCAGCTGTTTTTATGTTCGATGGTTTTTGTCACAAATGTACAGCTTTTGGCAAAAAAAAGTGATATGATTTGGTCTAGTTTGATGTATGGGCATGTGACGGCGTCTTTGGGAACTTCAATTATCTTGAAGGTGGTAATACCCGCACGTGAAAAGAAGGACCCCTACCGTCCTGCGTATCTCCCGGCAGGCAGACTTCGGCGATGGTTTCCTTCGCACCCGCCACCACTTGGTTGAAGAGCCGCTGAAGCGCGGCGTCGAAGCACTGCGCCGTGTGTTTGTCCACGCAGTCCACCACACGCTTCAGTTTCCTGCAAGCGAAACGAGTCGTTGCAGCGCTTCTCTTATCCGCGGCAGAATGCATTCTCTGACACTTTGCGAAACTATAGCCAGTAAGTAAGCCACGCTTACGAGCATTGCCACTCCAATCCCGGATTTTTTTTTAATTTTTTAGCGTAGAAATTCGTGATCGATCGTTGCGATTCGAAAATATGACCTCTTGAGCTCTAGATGGGATGTCTGGAATCTAAGATGATAATCTATCGCACTGTAGCACACCGTCGTGGCACCTCTGGAAGGCAAAAATCGTTTCCTGCAATTTCAAGATAAACCATTAGACACGAGGCAACCAGGGTAACCATGATTTTCAGCCACAATGTGGCTGAAGTATTCCTTCTCTGAATCGTGCTTTAGTTAAGCGGTTCGAAACAACCCCAGGTAGGAGGCTTGAGTATCTCGGCCTATAGGTTCCCGCATATTGTTTGTGACCGGGGAATGTTTCTGGGCCAATACATGGCACCCTTAGCTACCGTCGCGAAAACGCGCGAGAGTGACCAAGGACTCAATACCAGTTTAGAGAACGTTCAATGCTTTAACATTCAACACTCACCTACACCCCCCCTCCTTTTCCTCCTCTCCTGGCCCCTCGGTGCCACAAAATTTTAAACGTTCTTTTTCATTAAATTTTTGTCACGCCTAGGTCTGTACCTAGCCAAATAAACTAATACGTGCGCCTATCATAATCGAAACCATGAGACAGGGAGGAACAAAGTAACAGAGCTGCCTTTCTTATTATGCACCTATGTGCCCCATATTCCATACACCGTGTAAAAGGCCCATATAAAAAAGAAATATGGAACTTGATTATAGTTTTATCGATTAACTTTCCGATTTTAAGTTGTTTGAGACAATTTTTCATATGTTATACACGAATTATAATATAAACCACAGAATATTGTTGGTGTGGTGTGCCCTATCCGTTCAAACTATAGTTTTTTTATTATTATCATTGAATACAAGGGCTAAAGACAACGCCACTTACGTGCCATCTGATTGAAAAAGTAGGGTAGACAACAATAAGACGAACATCAAATGGGCCTGTGCAATTTTTCATAACAAAAGATAAAAAAATATAGCATATGTTTTGTTTTATATATAAGGGATATGATTAATATCGGTCGTGTTTTTTTAGTCCCGGAACTAATATAGATAAAGGGCATATATTACAGAACCCCTTATGGTTCTTTTACTCTACCCTACTGATACAACAAAGGTTTAAATTGCAATCACGGCTGGACGATGACCTCGGTCTGGCTAATTGCAGACTGCATACGTACCATCGGCCACAAATGATGCACGCTCCATAAAATATCGATCGCCGACACTCGATTTCGTAGTGAGCGTAGCGCCTAACCTAGGTATATCTTGGACGATGGGAAGAAAATCGCTTTTCTGACGGGTCGAAGTGCTCCGTCGTCTTAGATTGCCTCTGCCAGACAGGGTTGGGTTGACTAACTCTTCTTCGATAAAAACACCGTCCGAGCACGACATCATTGATCAATTCGGTACCCCACTTTGTTTTGGAGACGCTTATATATATAAAAAAAGAGATAGAGAGAAAGAGAAAGAAAGAGAGAACAAATAGTAAGTTCTAAATACCTGGCAAGAATCGGTAGCTCTAAGACAAAGGCACACGGCATGCTTTGTTGTCAGGATTTCTATTACGGGTCGCCCAGGCACAATGACGCAGTCCTTCGACCAAGCAAGAGCTCATGTACGTCCAGCAGCTTCTCTGAGCGCTACGGAGAATTCTCAATCGAAATAACCAATGTTAAAAGAAAAAATCTTTCGCCGATGCACATAGCAGATGAAAGGACAGATGGAGCATATTGAGAGCCATGCATGCATGCTGAAGCACCGTCGCACACACATGGACTCACACGCAAGCTTTTATTCTTCCCCAGAGAGGCATAGACCTCCTGTAGTATCCTTGTTTTTTGTAGGCAGCCGACAACAACAACAAAAATATTCTGAAGGTGGATTCACCAGCGTGGCCAACACGCATTCAATATAAAAGATACCAACCTGTCGCTGAATAAAAGCAATGTCACGCTATTTCCCTTTCTCAAAGAACTCTCTCCAGGCTATGCGCTGAAAAAATATGAAACGTTCAAGGTACCTCCGGGCAATATGTGCTGAAGCACCCTATCAGGCATTTTTCGGGTTCGACGGTCTTCGCAAGCTCTAGTATGTCTACATTTGTAAAACTTTCCGAAATATGAAACCTCAGTTTCGAATTTAATTAATAAATTGAACAATATCTTTTTCAGAAGCAGGCAGGTACGCAAAAGATGCATGAAGACTGATTTAGCTCATATTGTCCGTGATATACAGTGTCTTTGAGAGCTTTGATCTACACAATCTCAACTTATCGTCAATTCTATATGTGGAGTTTCAGAACAGCTGGTTCAATGATAGTGTTCGAAAAACGTCTGTGTGATTTTTTGTTGCCGCCGGAAGATTGCTTCACCGCTCTATTGTAACATCCTCCTTTGTCTTTCAGCTCGACAAAACCGACTATACACCAAAGTTCGCCTCATTTGCATTCATTCCTGCATTGACTGCTCTGTATTCATACTTTCGTTTAGCTCGAACATTTCTTCATGTAATTCTGGTGCAGAGAAATTGCTTTCTTCTTCTACTCTAGGTACGTGCATACGTTATCGCTGTATTACGGATGCGTTTTTTGAAGAGGTCTTCATGTAGGACGCCTTGCACGCGCAATTTTATAAATTTATGTTATTGCACTAGATGCGTGACCGTGTGATTTCGCATGGTTCAAACCTTCCAGATAACCTGATTTAGATAGGAATCACTCTCACCTGCAGACATGGTGAAGCTCAGGCTTACTGGTGACCAGGGTGATGTCTTCACCTTTGGTGACGCTCTCCAGGGAAGAGAGACATCGCTGGTACTGGTCGTTGGTGCACTGCTCCGACAATACAGCTGCGCCAGATTAGGAGTGAAAAACAGTGTGCAGGTTGTAGTTAAAAGTACAGTCACTCGAAGACTACGAGCGCTGCCAATGGCCACAAATTGCCTGTTTGTCGCTTTTTAAAGCGAGAACAACGCGCACCATAGAGAAAAATGTTTAAAAGGGACCGTGCAACAATATTGGACACGAACGTTTCCTAATTTACACAAAAAGAGAGTTTTCACTGATGTCATTTCGTCCACCATTTCGTTGTTATGGGCAGACTGGCGCGTGCAGAAGGCGAGCACTCCGAAGATTCACATTACACGCAAACTGGTAGTCCGCGAAAGCTCATAAGTTTCATCACGCGGACATCTAACAACAAAATGGCGGATCGACGTCATCCGAAAACTGGCGACGTGCGCGATCGAAAGCGTCGCTGTGGTTGGCCTTCCTCGATTGGCCGAATGCTGACTATGACGTCAGCAAAGGATTTATTATCGACGGAAATAGGAGGAAGTTAATAACTTTAATTTTGACGGTGTTGGTAGTGTTGCATTGAGAGCGCAATGATTTCAAGCTTCTACCATGCTATTTACAAACAACATCGAACTTGTTGTTAGCAAGGTAATGACGCCACGGGAGGGAACCATAGGAGGGCGCCACCAAAACATATCGCCGCTAATAGTGGGTCCCAAGTATATTCCACGCACCACCACTGGACAAGGAGCGACTTTTTAATCGCGAGATATCAAAGATAAACATTTTCTTTCAGTTTCTCCTTCGCAAACGTTGATGAGAAGGTTGGAGGGGAAGGGAAAGGGGGAGGGGGGAAGGGGGAGCGGGGGAGGGGGAGGGGGAGGGGAGAGGCAGCACTGTTGGTGCTGTCAACAATCCGGTCCCCACAATTTTGTCATCAAGCTTCGCGATCCCCCTGGTGAAAATATTCAAATGCGGCTCATGCTGTAGATACGAGGACTGCGTGAGCATTCAATTTGTACTCGTGACAATCAATGCCTCGGCATGCATTCGGTTAATGACTCGTGCTCAATCGCTGCGATGCCGGAAATAGCCGAATCTTAAACAATGCGTGGAACTCAGCGCGTGCCCTCTCATTTGCCGACCCCAACGCGTGGCTCTGTTATACGATGGCGGCATATAATTGGCTCCAGATCACGTGGCTGCTTTTTCTAGTTGCAAGTTGAGGGGGTGGATGCTGCTCGTTTTCCTTGATGTTTTCTGCAACGGCCGTCGCGTGGAAAAAACAACAAAACTACTAACGCGTGTCTTATGCCTTATAAATGCCAACGATTAATTTTAACCGTTATTCACTGAAAGTACAACAATTGATTCATCGCCCCTTCAAAGCGGCACTAGCGGAAAGTATCTTATTGTATCGAGTAGAGCCACTAAATTTACGCTTCACTGTAGCGACCCTTGAGCCATTTGGGTGATTAAAATCATTGTTGCCAGTTATCTCAGATTTATCTGAAATTGTGCTAAACGGTCTGCCATCTCGCAACAGTGTTAAAACTGTCAGCGGCAGAGCAAGCAGTATGGCCTGAGCGTCCTGACACCGCGTCTATGGCTCAGGGAGTCACATTTTCGAATATCAATGATGGACAATCACGTCTGCTCTGCACTAAGCACCATAAATGGCGGCGCTCACAAGAAAGTCGGGGAAAGGCCTTTCCGAAATTCAGTCTGGCCACTATGATCACTATCATCATCTGTGGTACGGCATCTGTGCCATACCAATGGCGGCCTTCTAGTGTCTGATAAAGGAAGACGTTGAAGATGCTCCTAAGCGGATGATGTGAGGCCTGTACATTCGGGGGTTCAGTACGAGGCGACGTAGGAATGGAACACAAGAGCTACGTAAGCACTGATTTCTAATAACTCAGATTCAATCAATCTGTGGGCGGCACACAATCGGCTTTAAAGCACTTTGGTGTACAGCATTTTTCGAGGCATCTGAGAGGGTTGGAGCTTTGTTGAGAATGCAGGTTCTTAGTCACCATCGAACTGAAAGTGATCGAGCAAGAACTCGCACTAAAAAAAATTCCTCGCGTGCTGTTGACTTGCGAAAGTGACGGTGCCGGTACAAGTTCATTTCCGCCATTGATATGGCAAAACCTAAACTGCTTTACGAACCACCAGATGGCACTGAATTTCGAAAAGGGTCTATTGATTTAGTAATTGGGTTAAGAGTTGAGCTCCTATCCTTTCTTTATCCGTGTTCAAGATATAGTTGTAAAGTTCAAGCTGATCGATTTTACGAGTTATTTATTTATTGGTGTTTTAAGTCTCGATGCTTTTCAGCAGAGAAAAAACACCATACCCCAAGACATTAAAGATGCTGCGGAAAAACATTGGGTCACAATGTAAGTTTAGTAAGAGCTCAGCTTACATATTGTATTAACCGATTGATACGGAACTTTACCATTTAAAATAAAATGAACAATTTTTTCGAAAACTTTCAAGTGTCATATCGTTTCTACTGGTGAACTAGATTATTAATTGTCTTGCTTATGGGAAAAAAGGGGCGAAAATATATTGCCCGACAAAACACAGTTTCAATATTTTGGTGTATAAATAGAAACTAACGAACTTTTGCGCCATACAAAAAAGTTTTAAAATTTCGAAACCTATTTTCTTGACAACTGATAATCTTCTACCTTCACGCAATCACAAAACAAAACACGCAAAAAAGTTATTTTTTACAGGTATTTGATTTAAACATTTTTTTTAGGAAAATAACGCGGCTGCTTTTCGTTTCGTTTGCTCCGTATCCTTCATTCGAGGCAAAGCGACATCACCATTTCCAGTTTCCCGCTTCCCTTCTGCTTTTTACTGATTACTGAAAATCCTCAAAGACAAAAGCTCACCCCTGCCTTTTCTTACACACAAACACAAAGACAAAAGAGCACAAAAACAGCAAGCAAATACGAGATAAGAAAGTACATGTGTTGCGGGAGTCGGTAAGCCCCAAAGAAATAGATGACTCGATCCGCTAATGCTTTATTTCTGCCCCCATTAGAGAAACTCGACTGTCAGACGATATGTTAGGACACTTTCGGAAACTAATTACGCGTTTCAAAAAAAGGTACTTCTCTTCAAGTAGCGAATGAAAGCGGGCAAAAATAAAGGAAGCTTACTTTCGCGTGCCGCCTCCAAGAGTAGAATCGATCCATAAATACCTAACTAAAATCACAAAGTGGACACTTCGTTGCGTAAGACCTGTGACTAGTAGAAGGCCTCGAAACCGGCGTAGGAGAAAAGAAAGCCTTCTTTGACCGATAACTCGGTTATAGATGATTCGGGAAAAGTTGGCAGAGCCAACTCGAAAAGTCATCGGATAATATATCGAGATCCACTTTCCTGGCTGCTCAAAGGGTACATTGGGACGTCTGCTTCACTTCTAGGGTAGGTTTGAAAAGAAATGTTCGGTGCTGTAGATGTCTGGGAAGTGCTTTATTTTTCTTAAGTCCTTATCATCCTTTGTTCTTAGTACAGTCGTTAGCAACAAAAAAAAAATGAAAAGAAGGACAGTTGATAATTTAAATAAATGAATTTTCTCGAAAGAAGCATGAGTTATACTTCAAGGAGATTAAAGAGACGGAATCGTTGTGAATTGAATTTGGAGCCCATTGTAACCTCGCCATACACACGCGGAAAAATCGATGAGCGAATCTGTAGACGATGCACATGAGCTCCACTAAAAATGAATGTGTCTAACTTAACCACAACTTATGAATAGGTTTTCGTGTCTCGGGGAAATATTGATAAACCCCGAAAAATAACCCCCGAAACGGTTTTAAAAAAATCAAGGAAAACCGAAAAAAAAAACACGATTCGAAGGCGGCGTGAATAAGAAAAGAAAAGCCAAGGTTCACAGAAAGAAAACATTTGCTATGGCTTTTGTTTTGAATCGCACCACAGTCAACAGTGAAATGCTCGCGGGGCTGAATCTTCATTATCTTGTTTCTTTCTCTAATCGGTACCGGAGCCTTTTCCCAGTATTCTAGTCACGTGAAAGTTCCTTCGAGGTTGGGGAATCTCCTACTTCTGCCCTGTCGTCTTTTACAAAAGCCCCAATAAACATGATTTTTTGACCTAACATCTAAAATACCGAATCTGCTATATATATATATATATATATTGTTCGAGGCGGGGTTTAGGCCGCACGTCCGGAAGCTTCCTGGCTCGAGACGACGTCCATTCCCCGAAGTGAAGAACCCAGGGGTCCAGTGGAGGTGGGAGACTTGGTAACGTAACGAACGGTTTAATTACATGGTAGCGATACAGTCGTCAAATCCGAGAGAGAACAACGGAGCAGCCTCGCGCTCCGCCTTATATAGGGTCCGTTTCTCCCTCACTCCCCGCCAGGGCAGCCAGTGCGATGCAGCAACCCGCCGTCAAGTGCGACGTAGCCAAAGTTCTCCGCAGTTAGGCCATGCCTCTCTCCCTTTCCCGAGCGCACCAACCACCACGCACACACACACGTCCCGCTAACGTCACGGGCGCGTTGAGACTTGTTGCCGCAGGCCCCGTCACGCAGGCGACGGTCCCGGACTCGTCTTGACTCGTTTCGCGCAGGCCCCGACAAGCGGGCGACGGTCCCGGACTCGTCTTGACTCGTTTCCGCAGCGTTGAAACTCGGAAGAAGGTCGCCGAAGGTTCCATTCTTAACAGCCCCTCCGGGGCCAGGGAAACCTCGAATGGCCGGTGGTACTATCGCTGGCCTGAAGAGGTGGGCTTGGAGTAGGCCTTGAGAAGATGCTGCAAGCACTAAGCAAACTCCCAAACCTCTCACAACGGAGGCATCAGCGGAAACGTCCCCCACAACACCACGCCACACCGCAGTCAAACGCTCGGAATCCGCCAGAGACCCGCCAGACTGGATTACGGATTACCAAAATTTGCCAAAACAATGCAATTTAAAATCTTAGGACAATTTCGGGTATCGAGACCCGCTGTCGCCAAAGCAAAACTCATTTTTCCAAAGAGGTCACTATGAACAAAATACAAAAAGACAAAACTTCGCAATTTGTGAGGTCATTTTGGGGTTTTAACGAAGTGTCTCCACTTTGATCCTCATTCCCGTGGATGACGAAAACCTCTGAGATCATCCCTACTCTTTTTGGTGATATCAGAAAAATCTGCTCAACCCATCGGCATTGCTGTTAAATTTGCCTTTCCTCTTTCTTACGCTGAAGTCATAGTGATCGATTTTCACGTGATTTCTAGACGT